ATATGAAAATCATTCTTTAATTTTAGCCAATCAGGATTACTGATGATCAGCCAATAAAAACAAATTTCCGTCTTGCTGGTGCTGACGAAATAAAAAAATTTGACTATTCTAAAATTAATCAAGAGACTTTTTTTTTCACTTAAACCATTATCTTAACAAAATTTTGCAGCGTTAAAATTTTCTTGTAATTTATTAAAGAATTTATAACTTAAATTTTTTGCAAAAACACAACGCCAAGCCAAAATACTCTAGACAAAGAACAATTTTTCGAGTCCATTTTTTTATTTGTATTAACCATATTCAGATTAATTTTGTAAAATAATTATAGCCACAACAAGTCACCAACCAGTTTGACAACATATATTTATACGAAAATGTTTCACTCAAACGGTCACCAACCAAGGTCTTTATTTTATATTTTACTGAAAACTATACCTTTTTTTAACACTTAATTTTTGCATTAGCAGGAACATGGCCGAAATTATACTAAATTGTCACATTCTTGGAAACTCACTTGAAGATGTTTTTCCGGTTGTTATTGGTGAAAGAACTCGCGTCAATGATCAAGACGTTCCTATTAACATGTTTAATGTTGGATTACTCAAGAAGCTTCTTATTGAGACACAAGGAGAACAACTTGTCAGTGGTCTGAATATTTGGAAGGTTGAAGGTGTCACCAAAGGAAGTGAAAAATGGAAAATACTTGAACAGCAGTCTTATACCGAAATCGATATTGAAAAACAACTCGGAGGTGAGAAGCTGAGTTCGTCAATAGACACAATTAAAGAAATATTCCCACAAAACCCTCCCATAGGCATCCATTTAATCATACAATTGCCTAGTAGGTGTCACAGCAAGGTATTTTCTTTAATGGTGACCATTAAAGAGCAAGAAATAACAACAATTCGTACCTTTTCTAGATAAAACTATGCTTGAAAATCTTATCAAGCAGTTACCAAAGATCGATACAAATCAACATGTGTTCACAATTCCACAATTTCCAGGAACCGATGGAGATACAATTATCTATAATCGAAAGTGTTATTCCTATTTCCGTGACTTTATATTTG